AAATAATAAAATGTATATGAACATATAAGTGTCAAAATGCTTGACATGTGTATTATATAATGATGTATTATATAATGATGTATATATATTTTGTTGCTGATTGGGACTTTTTATTTGCATTTAATTTTCAATTAATTAATAATATATTATTTACGGCTGGGGAGCCAACAGATGATTAGTACTGAATTATATTTATTTATATTACTACTTATTGATCTCAGGTTTTTATTATTACTATGTAATATTGATATTTTGGCCGTGAAGGCTTAATATTACAAAATAAATGAATAAAATAAATAAAAATAAAATAAATAAAATTTCGAAAATATTATTGACAATTTATTCCAGAATTACAAACTTACGGATTTGAATATATCTCTCAATTCATTTCATGCATTCTCATATACATATATTTTTCCGAAAAAAATCTTGGAAGTATGAGTTATAAACCTGACATCTATTCACCGAGATTTAAAATTATTTCAACGGAATTTTCAATATTTCCTTCCGAAAACACATATACTTTTCCTTCCGAAAACACATATAGGTTTTATACCATGAGCAACTGTGTAATTAATAGAGTTTTAATCTAATTTTTGCATTCAGAAATATTTTAAAGTTAGAGACATTACATATTGCTAAATTTACAAAAATTTTGAAATAATTTTTAGCATTTCTGTTTATCTTAATACCACGGAACTTAATTTTTTACCCTACTCCACTATATTACGTTTGAGTATACTAGTCGGTTAAAAATCATTTTCTGAATCGATTAAGCCATGTAAGCCATGACCGTCTGGTAGAGGTTGAAATTTTCAAAACAATAAGCACATATTCTTTTTGATCCAATGACAAAACCTTTTAAAAATGGTTAAAGTCCGTCCTTTATTTTACCTAGCCCCCATACATATACAAATGTATAAAGCCTTTCTCAGAAAATTAGTTTAAATATATCGGAACCAAGGTTCAATTCAACATAAATGCTTTATTACGAAAAATAAATCAAATTTTATACTCATATGGTCAACCACGGCAGAATATACTTTCTTACTTGATATAAATTACAATGAATTTCAGTTAAAAATTAATATGAATTGTTCATAAAAACACTTAAAAAATTTTAGCATTTTTTTGGCATTTTAAAATCAATTTAGCATTTTTTCTAGCATTATTTTGGATGGGATTTAGCCGCAACATTTTTGAGACCTGGTCACACTGGTCAAAATACTCAAATGTTTAACTTACTTTTTTGGCCACTTTCAAGTTCGTACGCGAAATTGCAGTTATCCACAAAAAAACTGGATTTTTTTAAATAGTTTTAACGCACTTCTGATTTAGAATTTTGTTTAATTTTCTTGAACTGGAAAAAATTTTTTGTCATTTAAAGTTGTAATTTTTTATAAAACTCTGTGTGCTTGGAATGCACCAATATAAATACATTTTTGTTACTAACGCATATTTCCAGTTAGGTACTTTTTCAGTAACACATGCTTAGAGTTAGGTACTCCTGTCAAAGAGTCGGATTACTTGTTATATTTTGGTTAGGATAGTTTGAAGAAATTCAAGTCATTTCATAGGTTTTCTTTTGGAATATGCTCTATTTCCGGAAAATATTCTGAATATGAATGGATAACTTAAATTATTAAAAAAAAAATAAGAGTTTACATTCCATTCGTTATACCTAGCTTTCATTGTACTACAAAATAACAAACATGTTACTATTAAAATACTTTAAACGATCGTACAAATACGTTTTGGGTAAACAAAGTTCTTTAATATTAAATTTTTCAGCCTCAAAGTATGCAACGAAAATAGATAGATAAAGATAGATCTTTACTTCACATAATAAATTTGTTCGTAAATAGCTACATAAAATGTAGATAATATATGTATGTATATATACGTACATTCATATAATATAAATTGTATATAAGCATTGGGTTGTACAAAATTTGTATAGTATACGTAGACGTCAATTGAACAGGGTTGCCAAGTTTGTTATATATTAAATGAAAACTTGTGAGCAGATGACTATGACTCATCAGAATTAGTCGTTCGATCGTTGTATAAGTATGAAATAAGTATCAATATTTAGGCGATTTGTAATATTTTAATAACATTCTTAAAGGAGATAAAAAATAATTCGTACAGAATATAGATGTGTATATACTTTGTCAATAGTAGAAGAGGTTATCTTTATATTATCGTTTCAAAATATAAAATCGGATTAAAAGAATCGGAGATACAAATTTGTATATCCAACAACAATTAAAAATACGTTTTATGGGCAAACTCCAGGTTTTAGGGGTGTATTAAATAATATAGCTCTGTAAACTACTCTACTAGACCTACAAGCAGCACTAGGTCACGTGGAGAGTATAGGTAAGTATTAACTTATTTGTGATTCTGTCATATAGGTACATAAGTGCTAAATTTTGCTAAAGCGTTTATTAATCAAAATCAAATCAAAATTTCTACCATATTACCTGCAAATAAATTCTTCAGACATAAACCCAAAAATATATCTATCTCTTTTCGCCCTTAAAAATACATTTTTTTATTTCTCTTTAAGTACAGTTTCCCACAAAAAATAAAATGTCTCTCCAAAAATTACACTCTCATTTTTGTTTTATCGAAAAGTGGTTGTTTCTTCGTTTTTCTTTTGTTTTGTCATTCGCCAGCAGACCAACAACATTTTTGTGTACATGTGGAATTTTTTCTTAACAAAAAGTATGTTACTTACCATTTTTCTATTTTATTTTGTTTATTATTTAGTTTTTAATAATTTCAACTTGAAAATGAAATAAATTATGAAATTTTTGTATTAAATATTTTTTTCACTTTTAGCTTGTGGCCTACACCCGCAAGAAATAAAATGTTGAGAGCAACTAAAATGTTGAAACGAATTAGGTCTAAAGAAAAGAAGTGTTAATAATTATGTATGGCAATACTGTATGTGTTTATAAACATGTGTATAACATGTTTATGCTTGACAACATGGTATTGAATGTTAACAGAATGTGTGTGTATTTATTTCTACTCGCAGATGTTAAATAACATTGGCAAACAAATGAACTGTTTTTACGTTGACTTCGCATTCTGTGGACCAGTTCAAAAATATGTTATACAAACTTTTTTATGGACAATTTTGTTATACAGAAATTTCTTTGTAGAAAAACTGATATATCCCAATTTATGTATAGAATATAAATGTTATACAGAAACAAATGGAGGAAAATATTAAAGAGAAAAAAAACTGTCATACTTACCTATAGAAAATACACTACACCGAATATAGAGAAAAAGCTATTATACATATTTGTTCTCTCGAAAAACTATTATACATAGTATGTACAACATTTTGTATAGAAAAAAGTATTAAACATTTTTTATAGTGAAAACTGTTATACAATATTTGTTCTATATAATATAAAAAATTTTCTACAAAAGAAACTTTTCTTTCGAAAACATTTTTGCTAACGAAAAAGCTGTTATTGTATAACAGTTTTTCTGCTATATAACATTTTATTTATAGAAAAAAAAAGAAATAAACTTGTACAAGATTTTTCAATAGAAAAACTATTATTATTTTTTTTTCTATAGAAGTGACTGTTATACGATATAATCTCTATAGAAAAAACTGTTATATACATTTTATCTATCAAAATAACTGTTATACAACAGTTTTTCTATGCTAAAAATGTCACGCACACTTTTTTCTATTGAAAAACTGTTATACACATTTTTTTAGGAAACATTTTAATACACTGTTATACAAAAAGCATAACAGTTTTTCTGCTATATAACATTTTATCTATAGAAAAAACTGTTATACAAAATATTACTCTAAAAAAACTTGTACAAAAATGTTTAATAGAAAAAATTTTATTAATTTTTTCTATAGAAGTGACTGCTATACGACATCTCTATAGAAAAACTGTTATATACATTTTATCTATAGAGAAAACTGTTATACAACAATTTTTCTATTGCCAAAACTCTTATGCAAAATTTTTTCTATGCAAAGAATGTCACGCAAACTTTTTTCTATTGAAAAAAACTTTTATACACATTTTTTTTAGAAAAAAGTGTATTACACATACAGACTGTTGTACACAAAATTTTTTCTATACAAAAAACTGTTATACACATTTTATCTGTTGATGAAAGTGATTTTTCATCGAAAACCCTGTTATACAATATTTTTGGAAAGAAAAAATTTTTATACAATGTTTGTTTATCCAATAAAACTGTTACCCAACATTTCTTCTATAGAAAACACATACATTAAAACGTGTTATACACATTTTTATGGTACAAACAGTTGTATAACATCTCTTTTTCTTTAGAAGTAACTGTTATACAATATTTTTGTGGAAAAGATTTTAGTAAAATTTGAAATTTCATTAAAAATTAATTTCCAGTGTAATTTAAAATTAAAATAAAAATACACTGGAAATTTTTTTAAAAAATGTCTGTAACATATAGAACCTATTATACATTTTTCTATAGAAAATTCTAAAGAAATGTTTTTTTACAGATATTTTTATATTTCTATTAAAAAAATTCTATACTATACGAATTTCTTCTTTAGTGAAAAACTGTTGCACTGTTGCACAATTTCAAAAAACACGATCATGGACTTGTACATAAAAATAAAACCATGTGGTATTCTGTATGTCTCTATTTTATTCAGTACTGTTATTTAAAACAATAGCATTAGCAAGTTCTGTTATATTTGCTCTTTTTCTAAAAGCAACAATGTTGACAACAATATACTCTAGCAACAAGTTAGAGAGTTAACATAATGTTATTAATGAAACATTTTATATGTTAACTAACACTCTCTCTCTCTGTCTCTTCATATTTCATTTTGTTCTTTTTCTCAACACTAGAAAAAAACGGTTTGTTTACATTTTTTTCTTAGCTAAACAAAAACAACAACACACATTCCCACCAAAATATGCCGAACAGCTGTTTTTCTTTTTGACATTCCTTCGTTATTGTAAAAATATAAGCGCGTCGGTGAACAAGTGTCTCGTTGTGTATTTTATTAAAGTGTTTTAGTTTTTATTAAATAATGAATTAAATAGTGTTTAGTTTAAAGTAAAATTGTTATAAAAATGTTAAGAAATATTGCTAAAAGTGTTTTATTAAATAATACTAAAAATTTGTACAAATTAAAACCACAAAAATGTCTGCCACAAACTAACAAATTTTTTCATGCTGCTGCCGCCTTAAAGGCAAAACTTTTTATGGATCGGGAGAATATGCATGCCCATCAAGTTTTGGAAAGTTCCTTAAAAACCTATCAGATATTAGAAGAATATAAAGATATTGTGCCGGCCAGCAGTTTAAGTGCAGATATTTTAAAACCCAATGTGGAAAATGTTTCCATTCAACAATTGTTTGATAGTTTTAAATTCCTGTGTTGTTACTGCCAACAATCTAATACTTTAATATCCCAACCACAATTTAATAGCTTTGTTAGCCTTTACTGTGATAAGATTCATTTGCTAAGTGATGAACAGCTAAAAGATTCCCTACGTCTGCTGGCTGTTTTGCCGCCAGAACATAGTGTACGTTCCGCCAATTTTGTGGAACTCTGGAATACTTTGGACATAGAGTGTTGTCGTCGTATAGAAATATGGAAAACAGACGATTTATTACTTGTGTGTGATGCCTGGTATAAATTGAATTTGGCTCGCATATGTGAATACGTCTGGGAGGCTTTACGTAAATTGGGACGCAAAGTTATTAAAATGCCACCCAACCAATTGGTTCAGACCATGTTTTTGTGCAATATTATGAGACGTTCGGTCTTCGATATGTTTGATTTTGAAGTGAATTTGGCAAAATGTGCAAATGAAATGACAATGGCTGAATTGGGTGTCATGTCAATGGGTTTCTTTAAGACTCAGACGCCAATACGTAATCAGGAGTTGTTGAAATATTTTTATCAGCGTTTAATGGATGAACTACATACGGTGGATGATATTACATTTGTGTCGATCTTAAAGGTAAGTAGAAATGTGATTGAAATTGTGGTTTTGCAAATAAAATCCATGTTCGGAAATGAAAGTTCGGAATGAAGCAATGAAATTAATTTAGGGATAAAAATATTCACTATAAAATATCTTTTCAAAGATGAAATCTTCCAATACAAATTTGGCTTTAGGTTAATACTTTATCCTTTTTGCTCTTAAGGTCCTACGCTATAGTTCCAAATTGCCTCAGGCTGATATAATGATGCAACTTTTAGACAAAATTTGCAAAGAAAAACTAGACAGCATGAATCTGCTCACCTGCCTCCATGTGGCTCTTCTCGGTTGTGAACTACAATGTTGCCATGATGAAATCATAGAGAAAATTATGCACAAATTTTACGATCAACTCGATACAACAAGACTTAAAGATTTAGAACGCATAAGTTTAGTTATAGCCCTATTCAACATACACACTCCCAGTAAAATTGAAGAGCAGCTGTGTGAAAAGATATTACAATCTTTACAAGGACGTATCGAAGAGATACTTAGACATCCTAAATGTTTTACCAATTGTTTACATTTCTTAACTTTGCGAGGTTATTATGACAAAGAAATGTTATCTACTACATTGGAAAGAAAATTCCTAAGACATGCTGTCGGTTCAAATTTAGCCATGAGTCGTGAAATTTTCCATTTGGATACTTTCGTCAAAGTAAACCTTTTGGAAGAAGGTTATGAAGGAGCACAATTACTTGATAAAGTACGCAAGACAATGGGTAAAATGTTGACTCATTATATACCCGAGCGTAATTCTAAATATAAATTGAACGCTACGGATAATATTTTATTGCAAATAAAGGAAATCACTGATACTATTTTGCCTAATAATCAGCTCAAACATATATTACCCAATTATGATAGATCGGATGTGGTTATATGTTATGATCGTAAACAAAAGAAATCTCTGGAGATTTCTAAAGATTGCCCTGAAAATTATAGTGGTATTATATTGACCAGAGATTTGTTATTAGGGGCAAATAATCATAAAGAAGTGGATACTATAGCTGTGATTGTGGCCGGCTGGAATAACGTAGTGAGAGGCAAGAATAGACATACCGGCTTGTTTGATATGAAATTAAAACAACTGGAAATATTGGGTCATAAATATGTGGTGGTAAGTAAATGAAAAAATTAACTAATTATCTTTATCTTTTTATTACATTATTACATATTTGTTTTATTTTCTTTTTCAGTTTTATTGGCATGAATGGCGCGAATTGGAAACCCATCAAGATCGCGTACAATTTGTTAAACGTCGTCTTTCTTCGGTGATTAATTTATAATAATAAAAAAACAATAAAACATAACAAGAGTAAGCTTATTTTAATTAGTCCATAAAACTATTAAACTAATTTTCTATAAATTCCTTTACATCTTCTTCATCTTTTAGGTCACAGCAATTCATTTAAAGTCTTTTTGGTATATTCATATACTAAGAACAAAGTGGCTGTTGCTGGTATAGTACGCAACACCGATGGCAAGAGACCATTGTATAAAGCCACAACACCTTCTTTGCGTATTATTTCCAAACCCACCGAGGTCATAGATCTCTTAAGATTATTAACTTGTATACGTGACTTAATAACATCAGCTGGGAAAATGCAGGTCCATAATGTAACACCACCAACTGCACCAGCAAACATAGTTTTCAAAGCACCTATATCTTCTTTGGATTGTCCGGGTCTTCAATCAAAATACAACAAGTAAGTAAAAGTAAATAAAAAGAAAAAATTGTATAAAACATACTTGGCTAAAAATTCTCTGGTGCCTTCATAGCCACCAAAGAAAAAGAAGTAACCGGGCATTTCACGCATAAATGTAGAGGTAAGACCTCTAAAGAAACCGGGAACACCTGTAATAGAATATAAGATTTTTAATTTAATTAAAGAGAAATGTTTATTTGAAATTTTACAACTAAATTGTTCGGTAATTTTTACATGGCCGATTAAGTCTTTATGGGACCTCATCGACGAAAAGAGATCCTAACTCTTTTTTATAATCTGTTCACAAGAAAATCGCACTTCCACAACATAGTAACATTTTCTGTAAAAATTCGTTATTTTTAGAAGAAATTTGTAATTTCACTACAAAAATATATTTTATCTATCATGGGAAGAAAATATTCAGGAAAGGATGAGAGAGGACTCAATGTCTACTACATATGCAAGAATTCTATCGGAAAGAATTGGGTTTTGCAACATGAGGTAAATTGAATCTACCCATCGGTTGTTAGGTCTATCTTGACTTACGGTTGTATTGTCTCGTGGAAAGATTCGAGAAAGGATTAAAGTATTCTTGGCATTAATGGTGTAATTAGTAGTACTCTACAAGCGACCTTGGACATCATTCTTTATCTGTCACCTATAGAACAATTTGTTAGTCAATCCTTCTCGCAATAATCGCAGAAAATCACTTTACACTTAGGGGAAACTACTCTTATTTAGGGATGATTGGCGTGTATCTGATAGACTGTTTGATGGGTGTATACGTTTTTCTGACGGGTTCAAAATGGATATCGGCCTATGTCTATAAAACTGATGCAGTCTTTCAGACTTCTTGAAGAATGTAGTGTCTTCCAAACAGGGATCTAATCGATATGAAAAACGACGGAACTGATACGGAATCATGTCGATCTAGTGTCAATTATGACAATTTATGTCGATAGTCAAACTGCTCTTATTGTGCATAATAATGACGTGGCGGAGGAACTAGCTAGACCAGGTTCGACATAGATGGTAGAGGAGTAAAACCTCCCATCTGTCTCTATTATATGTTTACAGTCCTGGAATAGTAGAATTGATTGCAAAATATCGAAGGTCTTATGACCAACACTTGATGTAAGGACTACGAAGATACTTATAGGACTGGATAGGAGCAGTAGAAAAATTCTGACATGGATTTTAACATGGCATTGCTCGATTAGGACCTTCGTCAGTTAGTGGGACAGTAATATATTGGACTATTGCAAGATTGCAGAGGCACTAGAGACAGCTGAGCACTTAATTTGCCACTGTCCCAGAATACAGAATCTCTGGCTGTTGCTGGGTTGACAATCTTTGGGGTATGACTCGGGTCGTTCCGGAGCGAATATTCAATTGTCGTGGGAACGAGTGGAATTAGTAATTTCTTGGACTGGATTTTGTAGGGAGATTCAGATTCTCTCACAACTCTTTCTTTAGTGAATCGATTCAAATTTACCACTTCTAATCACATTTAAAACCATTTAAGATAAAAGTCATAAATAACAAGTGTGGGATTTGATTATCTACATTTCAAAGAAAAGTTATATCAATTAGATTCCCCCCAAAAAAACTAAATTTACTGGTCACACCTACTTCAATCTCCTTCACATAATCATGCTGTTCTCTAACAATCTTATCTTTTGCTCATAGAATTTGCCAAACTGATAACAAAATAACAATTTTTCACTAAACAATTTTCCTCATCAACACTAATCATTATAAACAAAATGATAACTTAAAAAAGCATAAAAAACAACATTTAAAACTTACCTTCAGTAGCCATAATTTGTCTGGTAAGTTTCCAGGGAGTCATTTGTACATTACTATTAGCTTTTGGATTTTGTAGTTGCATCTAAAACAAATCAAATAATTAATATTCAAATCACAATTAGTAAAATTAGTACTAAAGATTCTTACAAACCTCTCTTAAGGCCTGTAATTTACATTTAACCAATTCCGTGGGACACAAAGTAAATGTTGAAAAGAATGCTGCCAAAAAGCCAGCAAATGCATTACCTATCACCGGTAAATCTTTAGTATTTTCAATTTTCATGCCATAGGCCACTGCCTTTTGACAGCCACCATAGGCTGCAAATAATACTGAATTTTCAGCAACATTTGCTATAACAGCTGGTATGGAACCAGCATAGAGACCACGGAAAATGCCATCTTGTCTATAGGTTTTCACAAAACAATCCAACATACTTTTATAGAGTTTAGGAAAGGCTTGTTGTTTTACTTTAACCGTGTCCAGGGGTTGAGAGACATAAACTTGTAAAGCGCCACCTGTTGGAAAGAAAATTTTATTATTTACATTTTTTAAAACTGTCTCTATATAATCGAATTTTTGAATTAAATTATTTAAGATTCAACACTTTTTAAACTCTGTCTTGCTAACAAATTCAAACGATTGCTTACCCAAAGACCCCGCTGTAAAATCTATACATCCAGTACGGAATTTATTATCGCTAGTTTTGGTATCGACATCTGCAACAAAATATCAAATCATTCATTAATTTTCTTAGTCCTCTAGTAAAGTTCTAATAAATTTCATTTAACTTACCCAACATTTTGCTAGTTTTTTATTGCTAAACAATTAAAAACAATATTGAAAAAATGAAAAAATTCCCTAATTAACAAAGAAAAAATATATTTTGGATTTACTATTAAATCAAGTTCTCCACTGGAACTCTTTTGAGACACAACTAAACAGCTAGAATTGGAAAAAGCATGAACATATGAATTGTTTTTAACAGAGTTTATCAGTAAAATATATGAGCACTATTTATTGCTCAGTTAATCTCTTAACGAATTGTTGTTATTGCTTTTAGTTTGTAATATTCGCTCTCTTAATAAGAGTTTCATTTCTTATCAGTAAAATTGCGTCATATGTGCACGTTTTCTGTTATTATTTTTTGTTTTTATTTTTTTTTGTTTTTATTTTTTATTTTGAT